GGCACGATTACACACACCTGTAATCCCAGAGGCTCTGGAGGCTGAAGCAGGAGGATTGTGAGTTCAAAACTAGCCTAAGCAAAAGTGAGGGGCTAAGCAACTCAGTGAGACCCCGTCTCTAAATCAAATACAAAATAGGGCTTGGGATGCAGCTCAGTGGTCAAGTGCCCCTGAGTTCAATAGAACAGTACTCCCCCCAAAAAGAGGAACCATTATATATTTTATCAAAATGAAATGATTTCTCTTATTGATCTATTTGTAGATAGCCCCTTGAACGTCTTGACAATTAGTACTATTTTTTTCTTTTTCCATGATTTTTTGTTTCCCAAAACTATGTGTTCAACTTTGACCTTGGACTGACCTTTTCATACTGTATGTGTAAACTACTCTAAGTAATCTTCATTTAAATAGGCCCCACTTACCTCAATCCAAAATTTCCAGGAACAAAATTTTCATCTACACTAATCAGGAGTACTTGACACTGTTTGAATCTCGCTAAATTTTATTGCACTGACCTGTAAAATATCCCATCAGAATGGCATGGTAAATAAATTCATGCTTTGCCTTCTGCTCTGCTCTATATACATAACAGTTCAAAATAACAAAACAAAAGAGTATTAAAAAGATGAAGATCTCAATGCATTAAAAAATAGAACAGAAACATAAAAAGTGAGCTGGCTGATGTTCTGTGGGGCCAGAATCAGGTAGATGTAGAAGAATCCCAAATGCTATGATGGTAAAATGGAAGCTAAAAGCCCCTAACCCATGACAGACTTGAGCAATAGATGCTGCATGGAAAGAAAGGAGCTGCTGCAGAAGCTTGGGAAGGCTTAAAGGAATCTAGCAGGAGAAGACGAACAACACATCTAATTAAGAATCAGGGCCAAGTGTTCAGAGTTCACACCATATCTACCCATCCATAATGTCACCATGGAGACAGAAGGCCCAAGACATTAAAATGGTCCTCTTTTTTGGACTGTCAGCCCAAGAAGGCCTGAGAGGAGGCAAAAACAAAACCTTTCAATAGAAAGGTAGCCAGAGAGAAAAATCAGAGAAAAAGAAAAGGAGCAAATGCTTTCTACTCAAGATTATTTGCAATCTAGAAGTCTCCAAAACAGAAGGAAAACTAACAAGGAAGCTAAAATCAAAAAGTCAATTAAATCCACAAGCATTTCACAAAGCAGAGGGATCCATAAGTAATTTTGAATAAACATGCTAGAATTCTAAAAAATATGAAGCAGGAAAGAGCAAACTGGCCCAATAACCCACTCACCTAATTGTTTCTCCATTGTATTTATTTACTTTTCAAAACTTTTATCAAGAAACAATTTACATGCCATAAAGTTCCTCTGTTTAAACTGCACAGTTTGATGGCTTTTTAGTATGTTTACATGGTTGTGTAACTATCACTATAGTCTACTTTTAGAGCATTTTCAATATCCCAGAAAGAAATGTCATACCTATCAGTAATCACTTACCAATTCCTCCACTTATCTGAACCCTAAGCAACCACCAGTTCAACCTTCTCTCTCTAGAAGTGTCTGTTCCCAACACTTTGCAGAGTAAAATCTCAGAAAATGTGGTTTTATGCATCTTTCACTTAGCCTAACCTCTTCAAGGCTCATCAGTGTTGTAACATATGTCAAAATCTGGTTTCTTTACATTGTCAAATAATATTTCACTCTATGGATATAAAACTCTTAATCAGTTAATGGGTATTTGGTTTGTTTTCTATTTTTAGATTTTACAAATAACACTGAAAAGAACATTTATATTCAGGATTTTATAATGACTTTTTAAATTTTTCTCTTGGGTATATGTGGCAGTACAATTGCTGCCACATATTAACATTATGCTTGACTATCTGAGGATCTGCCAAACTATTTTCTGAAATGTGTGCCATTACCTGTTCTTGTTTGTTTGTTTGTTTGTGACAAGGATGGTCTCAAACTTTCAGGCTTAAGTGATCTTCCCACCTCAGCCTTTTGAGTGCAGGGATTACAGGCCAGCAGCATTGCACCTGGCTAGAGGTCTATTTTTTAAATAAAGTTTTTTTTTTAATTAACCCAGCCATGCCCATCTGTGTATATATTATCTATGGCTGCTTTCACAATGCTAAGTTGAGTACAGAGAGTATGTGGCCTGTAGAATCTAACAATAATTAGTATCTGGATCTTAACAGAAAAAGTTG